CAGTACAGCAGAATTTTTGAGTAAAAAGTGGCTTACAGCAAAGAAAAGTGTTCTCTATGACGACAGACATTATGAGTTTTTGGAGAGAAGTTTGTTTTGTTCTTGTTTGGTCATCTTTTTTTGCATAATGTGAGCAGGCGATCTCGAGAACTACGCTATGTAGAGAAATTCTGGAAACGGGTGGTAGTTCTCCGGATACTGAAGATGGATCGATGAGTGCTCTTTTTCCAACAAAAGGTCTCGGATCGACGCCACAGGATCCGAAAGTGGACAAAATCTGTCTTTTGGATTTAGAATTTTTTCATAAGTTCATTAGTAACTGGTTGTTCGGCGCCATTTATTCTTCGGAAGAAAAATAAACCCTTCTCTCCTTTTTTTTCTGTTCTGTTGATATTGAATCATTGTTATTAAGATACAAATCAACACGAAGTCTCTCTTTTTCTACGTAGGAACGTCATTTAGAATCCTTAGAGTACGAAGGAAGTATAGAGTCGTAAAACTGGCAGTCATACAGAACAGACTAATGATCCAAACTGGTGGATTTCTATACATCTCATCTTTATTTCTTTGGACCATACTGTCAATATCAGCTGAAACCTGAATATTTTCTAGAGTACGTGATGTTATACGCTCTTATATCATAAATTGCGTGGAAGATTGGTTTTAAAGCAAGTCATACAGGCGATTATGTTGATGAAATTTAGACTTCTATTATAAACGCGGCGTTGATTTGTAACTCATTTGGTAAATCCATGTCTTACTAATTGTATAGCAGACAAGCAACAAATATTCATGCTTAAGCTCAATAATATGGTCACATTAATAAAATATGAATTGTATCTTAGTTGAGAGCCTGCGGAATAAATATCTTATTTTTCAACTGAATGGTATGATTTTCCTATGAGAAACCGATAACGGATTATCTTGAAAAATCCACGTGTTGAACTTCATATTACATATTACCGGCGCTCACCATGCATTTTTTAAAGTAATTTTTAGTTTCAAAAAAGCTGTGTTTCAGACGAGCAAGTATAATAGTTAGCGAATTCCGTATAAAGCACATACGAATAAATGGCTCTATGATTCCTCAAAGACGAAAAGTTGGAAGAAATGGGTCATTACGAGTCTTCTAAATTTAGACCACTTTTTTGATAAAATGTGGCCTCATTTTGGAAGTCCTAATTGACATCAAACAAACATCAGAGAGTGGGAAGCCAAATGATAGTCAGTGCAAAAAATAGTGGTCTCAGTTAAAAAGTAGCCGATATTAATAAATACAGTTAATATCCATCAAAAAATATCGCCATTCAATGAGTGTTTGAAGAGATAAAATAGTTCAATCTATTTTAACCTATAAATGGATAAATGTCTTCACAAAAAATTAGTTTTATCATAAACAGAAAAAGATTTTAATTTACTTATATTTAAACCTTTCGTTAAAGACGTGCCGAAGTCTTTTGAATAACCGATCATATACTCATATCCATATCATATAAGATCATCGTTATAAATAATTGTCGTATCGTACATTGATTGGATCATACGATAATAGGTGAATTATAGGACAGAACGATAAAAGGAAAAAAATATAATTTTGAAACCGATCGTGATGGTAATGGTGCCATTTTTTTCACTCGTTCTAATTAACTATGTTGGGTCTCATCTTTTGATCGTTTTAAACATATTTTTCTTGTCACTCCCTCTCCCACTGCGAATACCATCAACACATTAGTTGAAATGTGATTCATATATTTTTTTTGTCCTACGCGGCATTTTCTCTCATCCAAAGAAACAAAATGTATGATGATTATTGCTATTTTAGAATATGCGCAATTATTAACACACCAGTTATTCTTTTCTATTTTTTGTACGAAGTAATGCATTTTCTCTATGTATAAATATCGTCGATTCTAGTTCAGATAATATTTCAGACAGTTCTACAACATGGGAGGGAAAGTGATGAAATCGATCAGAGTAGTTTCTTTAAAAATAAGAAAAGTAGTAAATAGATTAGTCTATTTAAAAAAGAAATTAGTATTCAATTTTTCCTTTACTACTGACACAACAACTATTTTGAATGATAATATTACAAACTGAAAAACAAATATTCAGCTCAAAGATAACAGAAAATTGTAGAATTCAAAAAAAAAGATTAGCAAATACTCTTTTTGAAAAATTCAATACCAAGTGTGTATTGAGAAATAATTTATTTTACTTACATATAAAAAAAGAAACATAGTTTCAGTTAGTTGAGCACAAAAACTATCGTACCCCCAAGCTTTTTTTCTTATATTTATTATACACACTTTTTCCCCTGAACAAATAGTAGTATAGAAGAATCATCTAATTATAAGTTCGTGCCTCTCATCAATATCTTCTTCTATTTTTCCTTATCAGTTTGTTGTTTTTTTGTGTTTGATCTACTAGGAAACACATATATAAACATACACGCAATAATAAAAAAAGATATATCTTGTTGATGGATCTCACTGTTACCATCCTACAGACACTTGTTACATTTTTTTGTGCATACCTAGAATAGTATAGAAGAGAAAAGAACATTACGCCAATCAATGTTGATTATAGTCTCAATTTTCATTGGTTTATATATAAAATTTTTCTCATCGTTAAGATTTGTCCATACATAGAGATGTTTTTTTTTTTTTTTCTTTATATATCTTGATTTCTAAGACGACGAACTGCTGAGTTTTTAGAACATATGAAATCGGTCTTCTTATCGGTCAACTCTCTCACGCTCAAGATAACGAAATATCGTGTTTTTACAAATCGTTTAGATAATAATATCTAAGAAGAAGAAGAAGAAGAAAAATAAAAGGTAATACATTTAAAGCGTTATCCCTGCCGATGTCAAAATGTTAATAACGAATCTAAAGATATATCACCATGTATAGACAAAATAAGATAATAGTATGTATAAACTACAAAACATTAGTTATTTTTAGTCACTTGTATAAACTAATTGATTGTACTTTTGAGTCAGTGAGACTAGAAGAAATAAGATGGAAGGTTTTCATCGAACAAACGAGACTTTATCAGTCTTATCTAAATGGATTAGATTTTTCTAAAATATTTATAGTATAGAATAAATAGAACCGATTGACTTATTTTGTCATTGTTATCAGTTGTAGAAAAACTCGCTTCAACAAAACAATAATTTCGATTTGAACAACTCCCAGATTTTCAGGAAAGGAAGGTCAGCATACAGCTAGACATATTTCAGTTTAGTCCATTGACCTTTTGTCTAAAAACTATAACAGATAATGAAACCATAGTAACACGTTAAATATCAAAACTTTATCATAGGAATTAGTAATAGCTACTTTTACTAGTAGAGTATCTCAACCTAGTATATTTATATACTTTATATTCATATCAGATAAAATATTGTTTTACAAGATATATCAGTTACACCTTTGCACTTTTGTGTTCTTGTTTCAACAGTATGGTCTACTACAAAGGTGTAGTTTTAGTAAATATACCAGTTCTCTTTATTCTTATCTCACATGAGTTAAGCGATGTGTCTGATTGATCTGCTTCTGCTAGCAAAGTATATTTTATTTCATGCTAACCATTAAAAATGTTCAGTTATTTTCATGTACTCGATAAGAGAGACATCTAGTGCTTTAGAGAATACGAAAGCTAAAATAAATACACAATCATGCTCGTATATTTAAACCTAATGTATATAACAATCGTAAGCTAGGTTACTCCGCATCTGAAGAAGTATCATGGACAAGTAAAACACTTTTCTCTCTTACACTCTTAAAAGAGGCAAGAGAATAAAATATTAGAATTGACAAATACAATAGACTTACAAAAATACTATTTTAAGCGAAGATGATGTGTCGTAGATGGTTCAAGGTTAGACAGTTCTACTATGTCTCTGGTAAAAGTAAATGCATCATTATTTTCAGCCTCAAAATGGCAGATAGATACTACTCGTTTGAATAAGCTGCGAATTAAATTGTCAGTTGGTTTTCTATTAATTTTAGTTCAATTTCTATTTCTTCTCTTTACGCTCATTTAACTTTTTTTTATTTAACTTTAGTACATTCATAGTACAAGTGAAAGTAATTACGTTGTTTTATGTTTCCATGATATCAAAACTCTATTCAACTATTTGAATCGTTCATTGTTCTAAGAAAAAAATTCGTTTTATTTCTATAACGTTGTCTATGTTTTGTATTAGATGACCTATTCTTATCAGAAACTACTACTACGAGTAGTGTTTAATTCATAATACAGAGAGACTAAGTAGCCAACGGGCTTTCGTCAATCATGATATAGTTGTTGTGTTGAAAGTATGATGATAGAATTTTGGCACGAATAGTAGACGTAAATGAAGACTAGAGAAATCAGTCAATCATTCATCAAAAAATCAACTATTTTACATACGAAGAACGAATAAATAGAAAACAAAATCAATGTTAATGATGTTTTCCAGTGAAAATAGATTTCTGGACGTCAATTTTACAGTAAAATGTAACTCCATATAAAAGGTTTTCGAAGATTGAAGAGAATCTTTCTCTAAAGCATTAGTCTAGACCTATGCATAGTATGAAGAGGTATTATCAATGACAGAGATCTTGATGGATAATTGCGAGTCTACCATTCGATTTGCATCTAAATAAAATTAAGAAAAAGATATCCAGAGGTTTTTTAAATACATTTTGCTAGTTTTATGATGATTTGTCTACTACAGCTTTCAAAGAAACCCATGCACTTTCAACCTTGAGCGGTAGAATTCCTTTTGCTAAATTGCGGATAAAATTGACGCTCATAAAAAAAATTTTGTGAGAGAAAGGTTAGAATGTCAATAGTGTACCACTTACTATTGAAAAAGATGGCTTAAATTCACTGATTCTTACGTAATCATCTGCAGAAAAAGTTGATGAATGATATGTCTATTAGTGACCTATTGCTAATTTGTACGCATAGTTGTTCTATTGTAAATTTTTTTTTAATTTAGTTGGTTGACTATGCTGTCGAATATCCCTTACAATAATAACATCAATACCAATGAGTCAACAGGAAGAGAATTTAATTCGTCCAATCATCGGTCACCACCACGTTCCAGTTACAATAACAACAATAATAACAATTCAGCTACAGACAACTTACAAACACGTTCATCTCCTCTTTGGTCTTCTACGATATGTCCACCGCCATTTGATATGCAATCGGCAGCGGCTGTTGCTGCTCTCTCTGTTGTTGATCCTTACACAAGATACGGATCGCCGTCCGCTCCGGCAATTGTTTCTCAGGATGATTTATACAATCCATGGAATGCAAAAACATTTTTAGCTGCTGCTCAGGCAATGCAACAACAGCCAGATTTAACATCTTCAAAATCAACAAATTCTGCATCATCATTAAATTCAAGTTTGAATCAGACATTACAATTAACTGGTTATGATATGAAAAATGGAATGAATTATAACGGACTCACACATCGTAAGTAATACCTATGAATTGTTCAATATCAAAATTGAAATAATATTGTAGTTAACTGACATTTTTCTCTAATTTAGCCTATTGCTATTTTGATTCTGATGTTCGTGAATGTGTTAATTGTGGTGCTGCATCAACCCCATTGTGGCGAAAAGATTGTAGTGGTTTTAATCTTTGTAATGCATGCGGTATTTATAGCAGATCACATAAAATTCGATATAATGGATTTATTGATCGCACAATGAGAAAAGTAGTAAGTTTATTTCTAAATTAATTAAGGAATTAATTAGTTTAATAGGCATTTTTTATCCAATTTCTGTATACTATCATTTTAAGGGTGGAATACATCGTACTGGTAATGAATGTGCAAACTGTCATACATCTGATACGACGCTGTGGAGGCGAAATGCAAATGGTGAATCGGTCTGTAACGCATGTGGACTTTACTTTAAATTACATGGGGTAAGTATAGGAACATTAAGTTTACAATCAATAGTAAAACTTCTTTCTTCTAGGTAAATCGTCCAATGACAATGCGTAAAGATGGTATTCAGACAAGAAAAAGAAAATCAAAGAAGGATAAATCTCCAAAAAAAGATTTTGATGATCAACCAAAAACAAGTACGTCTACATTTTTACGACAGACATCGTAGTGGAAGTGACGAAGGACAACATTATGCTGTTCATTTAAATCACTGGAGTATACGCAGTAGAAATAATTCTCAGAGTCATCCTCAGCAACTCTCTTACGGTTTTTTAGTCGAGATATGTTGAATATTCTTTAATATATTATTACGTATGTGTGTACATTGGATTATGAACATTCTTCTATTAAGATATATTTTACAGAAACGAAGCAGAAAATTGTTTCAATACGTTATAAAACAAGAAAAAAGAGTTTAGTAAAATCGACACATACAGATTAGCGACAGATTTTTATATCTGTTGACGATTACTACGCGTCTAATTCGAGTTGCTTGATTTGCGTCCTTTGATACCAGCTTGATTACTGAATATTCTAGACATCGATTTTGGTATAAGAATTAGTCAAGAATATGATAGAAAACTTAAATGAATCTCATAAATAGATTTTTGTCTAAATTTTACGGGATTCTGATTTAAAGTGTCATAGAAAATGACAAGAATTTCATGAGATATTCGGTTTTAATTTTTATACACTACGTCGCACACCATCGCAAGTAATTATCTGCTTAATACAATTTAATGACAAACCAGAATTTACAAAAAAGAAAATTGATCCAATCAGGAAAAATATATTGTAAAATTCCTGCTGACTTGTGTGAGACGTAGACTATATTGCTTAAATCATCGTAATGATAGTAAAAGGCCGATGTTATCACACAGTCGTATCCAGTATAAAAGAACTCCCTATTTTGATGAAGTTCTTGTATGAATAAATAAGAAGGTGACAGAGATCTAATAAGAACGACATAAAAACATTTTAACCACTTTTATCACTTTTTCGTACCTATTTCTTATGCTAGTCTTACGCGAATTGATCAAAAATGTTTCTCTCTGCCTTTTAGTTTTCGTTTCGTGCTTTAAAAACAGAAAATTTTAAGACTATAATGTTCGGTATATTTCGAGAAAAAGACCAGTATTAAGATTATAATTTATCTTTGTTCTGTTTCAACTTCAGACGAAACCTACTGTAATTATAGATATCTATATCTATGTACACTTTCACAAATAAGAATGTTATAACTACATTAAGTATCATGTTCTGCTTTTTTTGTCATTTAGAACGTTTAGGTATATCGGACGATGATGATCAAAAATCGTCAGTATCCCAAAATGATTCATCACCTCCAACAAATCAATGTACAATTGACTCATCAACAGCCATTTCTACTCCATCATCCTCTTATTTGAACATTCATTCATCGATCCCATCACCCTATGATTTATCACCCTATACGAATAGTTTCTCATCCGATAATCAATTTCATCATTCTCATCACACTATTCAACATCATCACCATCATCCCATTCACTCACTAAACTCGTATAATCAATCCTTATTATTCTCAAAACTGAAACATGAACCCGAACATCATCATCAATGGATAGCATTTCCAAATGGTGGTGGTCAATATGTTTAACCATAAATCATGATCATTTTATTTATTCGCTGCATGTCAGATATAACAAACACGTACATACGCACACATCTCCTGTACAGTTTTCAAAATTAAAGTCTATTTTTTATCTGTATTGTTTGTTTCTTTTGTGAGTTTTGAGAGAAATTAAAAAGTATATACTTGTTTATTATCAAGAGTACAAAATTTTTGCAATCAAAAACTCCAGGTTACTATATTTATTACTGAAAATAGTAAGGATTTCAAAACTTATTTTTACATTAGCAACTAGAATTACCTTTTCAATGTCGTGCTAGTTTTAGAGAGCTTGGGCCATTTCAAACATGATCCGAAAACAACGAAATTTCATCTTGTTAATCGTGGACAGCATGAAAAGTCATTCGAAGTCCTCGTTTGTTTGCTGTTCGCATCATTCTTGAAGTGGTTTTCCGCTTTGCTGTTCGAGAATTTTGCATAGCAAAATACAGAATTTCATTTCAGTTTTGAAGCTATCTAGTAGTCATCTACACTCTAAAAAAAAAGGTATTTCAAAAAACCCTAAAAAGTATTTTCCATTTGAGAAAAACCAAAAAAAAGGTATAACCACCCGTGAAAAACGTTTAAAGGGTTTAACCATTTGAAACATATCATAACTGTTTAAAAGTTTCTTCTTCTTATCAAAAAACCAATTTTCGTTTTCTAAAATACGGCCAAATTATATTCTGAAAAACGGTTGAGGTTTTTTCATGTCACAAAAAAACCTTTCAGGTATTTTAAAATACCAAATCAATTCAGGGTTTTTTAAATCACG